TAATATAGTGTAAAGCGCATAGAGCCTGCTGCTGAGCGGGGATATGCGCTATACAAATGCTATCTATTATTATTATTATTATCCAGTTATTTCTTTGGGGTTGTTCAAGTATCACGCTATGGGTTGAAGAGGAGTGGGAAGAAACCCCGTACAAGCAAATATAATACAGCAACAATAAGTATTTGGTCACAAAAGAGCTGAGATGTTTGCTAAGGGAAGACAGAAATCACTGTTTAAGTGAACAAAATGGACAAAAAGATTTGAGTGATAGCAATACAAACATGGATGGAAATGGTAATAAAAGATACCAGAATACTTGCAACGGCAAACTTGTTTATAAAAATAAAAAATTTTCGAGCAGATTATCTGAGACCAATTGGTGCGCCTGTTGAGGGCTATGCCACTTTTTAAAAATCACTGTAACAGTGAAAGAAAGAGTGAAAAAATGTATTAGCAAATTGAAAGTAGTTGTTTCCTGATTTGCCGGCTGTTTAGACTCGATGAAATTCTAAAGTGGGAAAAAATGTCTGTCTCTTGTGGTGATATCAAAGCGTTTCGAATAGTTCATAAGTAAAACGAAGCTGCTTTTCTAAACTCTTGACCCGAGCAAAGCTTGATGATCGCTATGACGCAGGTACAGTCTATACGAAGAGTGAGCTCTCGAGCACTAATTACGCTGTCAATACTGTTCTTTGTGAATTGTCAAACAGTGGTGAAGCGTCTACAGCTATATAATCAAATAATCACTGCTTCCCTTTCTAATTTTGAAACACTGTCGCAGTCAAATTCACCCATAGACGTAAACCTCATAAATTAAATGTAAAAAGACGCTCATAATCACCAATGAAAAATAGACTATGCCTAACCTTCAAAACCGTTTCAATGCCACAGAAATAGCCTGTTTGCCCCTATCGGGCCACTCCATAAGCAGTCACAAGCTTTGATTTTAAGTAAGCTTAAAGTGAGGCTGGAAGAGTCTACCAATAGAGTTGAAGGGAACATAATGTGTATAGCAGTCAAAACTGTTTTATTGCCACATATACCCTGTTCACCCCTTTCGAGCCACAGTTAAAAGCAGCCACACGCGCTGATTATGTAAGTTAACTATTACACTGTCGAGTCTACCTCACAGATGTGAGGGGAACTAACTCCAAATAATATCTTGACTCCTGCGAGTGCTTGTTTTTTTTCCTCGACTTTTTAACGTCCTATAATCAGATCGTGACCTCGATTATGACACCGGCTCCCGACCGCGAAAAGCTAGACAAAAACAGCCAAATGTGAAATAAAAAATGAATAATTGGCATGCTCTACCAAAGTGTTTAGACTGTCTGGTGTAACATGCCATTGTAGTACTGAAATCTCTGCTTTTTTCCTTGATGTTCGTGTATTCAAATCTTAAGTTAAATTTAAGGTTAGTTAGAATAAATATTTAATGAAATACTTTCCCGATTATTTTAGCGGTTGAAAGTGCATACAACATGAATTCAGGATTTGTTTTCATTCACAACTCAGAGTTGCCGCCTCCAGTAAGATTCTTGTGACTTGTGTGAGTGTGATATCTCCAGGCCCTATCTGGTCCCATCTCACTTTGATTACCCTGTCAAACAAGTCAGCCTTCGCCCCTGTAAATGACAAAAGAATGTACTGTGTTTCGGATAATTTATGTCGGTACTTGAACTTTCAAGAAATTATGAACCAGCTTTATTTGTAAATTTTAAAAAACAGTTTCGATTCTATCCATATCACCTTCTTGTTCAAAGAATCTCAGGGATGAGAAAAGCAATAGATTAATTGATCCTGGAGAGTTACTAATGTCTATCCTGAAGACACCAATACTTTGGGGTTTGGAAACAACAACGTAAAACCGTAATTTCAAGCTTGAGCAATTCCCCCCCCCCCCCCCCCCATACACTGTCAATCCTCCAGGTTTAGTTATTGTATAACTTTTCCGTCAGTCCCACCTCTATGACTCTATGAACTCTATGAATACAAAAGCCTACTTATTTATGAGAATGTATGCTGACGATACCCCCCCAAAAACAAAAATTACTCCATTATATCATTAAAAAAAAAATAAACAACAACAAAGGCGGAGCGGCGGGAGGATAACAACTAGAGGGTAGAACAGGAGAATAAGAATCAAAAAAATAAAGTCGGAGAGAAAGACAACCTGGGGACAAGCTCGGGTGCTCGAGATGTGTGGGGTGGTAGGGAGGCATAATAGTGATATTAATAATAATAATAATAATGATGATGGTGATGATGATGATGATATTATTATTATTATTATTATTATTATTATTATTATTATTATTATTATTATTATTATTATTATTATTATTATTATCATTATTATTATTATTATTATCATTATTGTTATTGCATTTATATAGCGTATGTCCACACTCTACAGCGTGCTCTATGTACTCTACAGTATTCTTACCCTACTGACCCTAGAAGACTTAGAAACATTCTCGGCCTCCCGGGAAGTGTACAGTACATTCTGCAGAGTTCACACGCTCAGAAATTAAAAATCGGACAAGATATCCCGTTGCTCAGAGATGGGTACCCTTTTCCTCCTGTGTGAAGTAAGAAAAATTCGTGTAAAGTGCCCTTCCTAACGACACATCATTGAGCCCCTGATGGAATTCGAACGCAAAACCTCCGAGATCCAAGCCACTAGGCCACCGATACCACCTCTATCTGAGCTCTCATAAACATAGCCAGAAGATGTAAACTAAACACAAGTAACAAAAATTAATGTGATGATGTTGAGATCTTCACCTCTAGCTGAATGCAGTAAGTCAGAGAAGGTAAGAGGTGATCGCCCTCTCAAATATAAAAACAAAGAACTCGATGAGCTTAAAATAATTAATAATACATGTAGTAGAAACAACTGAATGTGTTAGAATACAAACAGTTGGGGTAAACTGCCGTCGTACAAGAAAGGCAAACTCAAACGTTAAATGCACTACAAAAGGAATAGCAGGACGTGCTTTATGCATTATAAAGAACAAGATATTGATATCTCTGTTTTTAGTCTATCTTATGTTATCAGAGTTCTCACGTTTTGTGTAACATTCAGGTCTGGAAACATCCGGAGAAAAAAACCCCGAGCCAAATAAAATACGGAGAATGTTTAAACAAACCAAACAAACAAACAAACAAAACAAACAAACAAACAAAAAGTTAGGCATTTCCAATCAATCCATCATGAGGTTTTTGTTTCATAGTCCCCCATTCCCCCTCCCCCCCCCCTTCCCCCCACTCCCCAGCGTTTTAAACTATTTGGTAAAATGTGTCAAAACTAGCATTGAAATATCGAATCCATAGCAGAGTTCTGACACTTTGAATGTTCCTGCTTTATGGTCTATCCTTTGTCTTTTTTTTTCTCAAAGTCTCGCGCAAGAGAAACAATAGCGAACATAAATCAATTCATCATCGTCACTATAATAATCATAAAATCATCATCACCAAAAGCAACAAGAACAACAACACAAGAACAACAACACAAGAACAACAGCAGTTAAACAGATTACAAGTCTTAAAGAATAATTGAAACAAAAACAAAGAAAGGAAAACTTAATAGTACAAAATAAACAGGAGTTGATTGCGTCTCCCAGAAAAATCTGCCCAGGGCATCGGATGTTTTCGAACAAACGCAAAATGAGGTTACAAAGTACCAGGGGTCTCGAAAAAATATGAGCCAAAAAAATTTCAATTAATCACTTCAACTTTAGATCGGGAAAAACGAAAACAATAGGAAAATAATAAAAGGTTTTTAAAAAATACGCATCACACTAATGGTAATTAATATGAAACAATATGAACTGTGGAACAAAAAGCAATAAATGACATTCTGCTTAGATTCGACTGCTCTACGTGAACGAGATTATCAACTCGCTCATTAACTCTCTACTCTCGCTGTTGTAGGTAAAACATTAATTTGTTTGATTGTGATTATTTCCCTCCTTCATCGGTTCAAACTAGACCAAACAATAGGTTTTGTACGTTTTGAATGGGCCAGTCTTGACAGAGGGAGAAACAGCATTCCAGGAGAGACTGACATACTTGATAAGATTAAGTTATCTTCCCCATGTAGGAATCGAACTTTCGTCTTGACGTACACGGTGAAAATCTAATTATGCGGGACCACTGAAATAATTATAAGTATAAAGTACCGCTAACATTTTGCTTTCATAATTTGAAGCAAGCAAATAGTTACTAATCATTTGAATGAAGTAAAAATCTTTAGAATAATAATTTTGATAGATTAAAAATCTAACAAATGTCATCAAGTCTAAACAATAGCAGGCATACCCTTTTTGTACTAAAAATTATAGATCTATAATGAAACATTATTGAAAAGTTGAATCCTAGTCCGTGGCTCAAGCAATAACGAGTAGTAGTAATACGATGTTTGTAAGACAACTCAAGCAGCCATTGTTTTCATCATTCTGTATGATACCCCCCCCCTTTCCACCCCACCCCCTCCCCTTTTCACCCCTTTCCCCAACCCCCACTCCGCGCCGCTCTTTGAAGTCTCCACCATCCCGTTAGAACAGCGACAGATGCCGAAACAGCGCAAGTAACGGTGACGTAGCCTGCTCACCCTTGCCGAAAAATTGTCTCCCCATCGCCGAGTGTTTATCGATCTCTATCCCTCGTTTAGCCCCCGCCCTCGCCCATCTCTCGCTCTCCACCCTCACAACACCTCCGGTCTGGAACATCCCAGCCTAGGCCAATGCCAGACAGGAACCGGACTCCCTTCCAATAGAAGGGCGGTGCCTCATGGTGTGGACTCGTGCCCTAGCGCTATGGCGGCCGGTAAATGACAGCCTAGGGACCCCCTTCCCTTGTGGGGGGACAACTCGGTAGAAATACCGAGACGCGTGTGGCGTGAATCCGATTAGCCGGCCCAACGTACATAAGCTGGAGCCGTTTAGCGAATTTCTCACTTTCTAAACTCAATGATCGTTTTATCCGAGCGGGGGGTCTAAATTAGATATAAGGCAGATAGAATTTAGCCGTGCATCTTTTTAGAGAGCCAAGCTCGCCTGTTCTAATCGAATCTTTTAGTCAAACGATCGTAGTGCCAGTGCACGCCTGAGAATTACGTGCCCTTCGCTGGAAGGTTAGTACGATTTTCCAGGGAGCGACATGCCTTGGGAAAGGCATAACTGAATTTATCTAGTCGGTCTACATCATTGGTGAAATGCGTTTTGTTTCTCATTACGGAATTCGCATCAGGGATTTCGAGATTTCTTCTTTAGGTTACTGGTACTAACAAAATCTCGCCAGCCATTCTTCTTGATTATCACATTGCGTTTATTAGACACACAGGAAAAGACAGAAATAAATTGATTTACCTTCCCCTGTTGCAAAATCTGAATTTGATGTATCGGATTATTCCACAACATCGGAACCTCTACAGCGGAACAAATAGAATAACAGATCATCATAATATTAATTTATTACAGACGATTGAGTTGAAGGAAGATGGCATCAGATTACATCGCTTGGATGGGCAAAATCGCGCCTTGTTTTGTAGCCAGTAACGAGATAAACATTTGAATATGTCTAGTTCCGTTCTAGTTTCTGTCTAAGTTAACCAAAAACAAAACCTGATCGTCGCAAAGAAGAAATCTTATAGACTATACTTAAAGGCATTTTTTTTCTCAGCGTGTGTGTTAGTCTGTTTTCTAGTTTTTTGTTTCAAGTTTAAATTTGAAGAGTAATATTGTTCAGAGAACACATTTTTTTCCTTGTTGAAGAACATGATTCTGTACAAAGAATCCTGTTTATGCCTGCTGATATGTTCAGCTGTGTTATTCTCTTTTTGCCTTTCAATTGTATACTTTAATTATAATTATCATACTGTATCCAGCTCAGATTGATTTGATTCCAAGGAGCAATGTATTTATGACCCTTCTCAGCGGCATGTAACAAGCAAGTATACATTTACTAAAGTGGGCCCAGGCTCTGTTTTGAAAGCGCTGTTTACATGTCATGTAAATATCAATGCATGAGATCAAGTCGATTGTATATATTTTTTTCTCTGCATTCCTAAAACAAAACATGATTTTTTTAATGTCCCTACAAACTACATTTCTATTCACGACTGGTACCAATAAACTGAACCCTTTAAAAATTATAAACATGCGTTACACTAAAATGTCAATTTGGGAAGAACAGATATTCCGACACAAACACATTCTATCTCTACACTAATGTTGTAATGACTTTGAGAAATAATAATTCTTTTTTTTTTTCACTTTCCTTACAGAAACATTATTCATGCACTTGTCTACATTCGAGAAATGTGTTGTGTTATGAACTCAGAGAACTGAAACCTGTGCTGTGAAGATAGAGAGTCTCACGACTCAGCAACCCGAGAACACACCATATCAGAGCCTCTAACAGCTGTGGATCTTTCAGCTTGAACAAGTCGTATTTACTATAATATTGTCATCAAATTTACTTTGACAACCGCGATATCTGTGCAGACTCAACCTTGACACAACCACCATGGATTACCCCTATCTCAATCAGCCTAGCTTCGATGCCAACTGTGGATTGCCTCCAATGGATGCGGGTTTAGGAAACCCTTGCAACATTCCGTGCTCTTATCCGGATTCTGCAAATCCTTTCTCCCAGATGGGACAAGGCTACGGCAGGTACAACGGTGTGAGATCTTTTCCTCCGATGGGTTCGAACCCGCCTGGTCTAGGTCCAGGAGGATCTTGCAGCATGGTTCCTAGACCACGTGATCATCATCCTCAGCCACCTGTCTTCGGTGGAGGTAAGTTCTCTACTTTTGTTGTATATTATGTTTGAATCACACAAGTTGTCCATTTGTTTGCTTCCACGGACGGAGAAAGTGTGACTGTGAAAAAGCAGCTCTAAGGCTAAAAACAATGGAATCCAGTTTTTGGGGATTAATTCTGCACGGAACATCAATCCGGGGTCTGTGGTGTGGCGGTTAGGCGCTTCGCCGTCGTTCGCAGGAGACCCTAATTTGATTCCTGTGTAGGAAGGATTTTTGTCGAGATTTTCGGTATTTCAATTGAGACGCAAAATGCACCTGCACAAACAAACACATAAAAGAAAAAAGCACACAAACACAACAAAACAAAAACAAAAAACAAATAAATAAACAAATAAACAGACAAGCAAACACAAAAAAACGCGGACATAATAAACGTGTTTCTGACAAAGTACTCGTGTGACTGATAACAATACATTTGGGGTTTTGGGATAAATAGGAAACATGAGGCACTTTCGCTAGAACAAAGCTTGAAATTTACCACAAAAGCAATATTATATATTATGCTATCAGATTGCATCATGTTTTGGAATATCTAACTCAAGAATCCCACATCTGTTAGCAGATTTTTTTTTGACTAATTCAATAAACTTGGAATGGAAACAAGAAAGAAATTTTAGTCTAAGATTTCCCTAGGCGCAAAGCCACTGACTATGGACACAGACGCAATTTATTTCGTAAATCTGTAATCTTCATAATTAATGTTTTATATATCTTAATGTGCGAATTCGTCAGAATTGTTTTCTGTCGCTTGATTTTCACAGTGCCATCCTTTCAGAGATAATAATAATTGCATTTATATAGCGCATATCCACGCTCTGCAGCATGCTCTGTACGCTTTACTAAGTCTGCTATTATCCCAGTAGACCGTAAAACACTCAGAAACATTCCCGTTCTCCAGGGAAGCATACAGTACAAGCTGCGAATGTCACCAACTCAAACAAAAATAAACTGACAAGATATTTCACTTCTGTCGTTGGGTATCCATTTCCACTTGGGTGAAGTGAAGAAAATTCTTGCAAAGTGCTTTTCCTAAAGACACAACGTCGGGGCCCTGACGGGATTCGAATTCACTACCTTACGGTTGCGAGTCCGAGAGCCTAACCACAAGGCCACTGACGTAGGGGAGTATGGATAGCAGTAATAGATTAACCGAAATACCCACCAGCAAGAGGTACAACCCCTCAACACTACATCAGTACACTAATGTGTCTTTGCTGGTTTCTCACGCTCACAACTGGCGTATGCGGTGTATCGGTTAGGCGCTTTGCTGTAGCACTCAGGTACCCTAGTTCGATCCCGAGGTGGCATGTTGTATTCCTCTGAGCCCAGGTTGACCCTGGCAGGCAGGATAGAAACCCCGTCCCCTAAATGATCCAAATAGTATTGATGGGGACGTAAAAACACCTACATAAACAATTCACGGACACTTTCACCAAAGTTGTGCGGTCACTGCCTTCTTCTCTTCCTTTTCCTTTTCTCCAACCACTGGGCCAAAATGTCGCAATCTCTGAAAGACGTATTCGTATGTAATAGGTTGTAAAATTGAAGCAAAGAAATATATTATGTATAAGATGCAAGCAGATAAACTTTAAATAACTACTAAAATCAACTGTAATTTAGTTTATTATACATACGGAGTGGGCACTTACATTAAACACAGCTCTATTTTGACAGAAAAAAAACCCAAAAGCTCTCCAAAAAAAAAAGAAAAAAGAAAGAAAGACAAAGACACAGTCCAATCAACGGTATACCACGAAAACCATCTTTATTTCAATCCTTTACCCATGGCAATATTACTCTTTCTGTGAAATACATTTCAATACTTCGTGAGAGTACCAAAGACTATAATATTTTGTATTATTAAATCAACTTCGCTTTTCATTCTATTAACTTCTATTAACTATTATTTCTTTTCTTTGTCAATTTTCAGATAAATTTTTTTTTCGTTTGTATTTTTTTTCTCGGGTGATATATTTTCATTTTTTCTTTTGGTCGTTAACTGCGCAGACTGTTTTGCTATTGTTTCACTTTATTCAATGCACGTAACAAAAAAAGACCACAAAGCCGGATCTAGTACAAGATCATGATTGTCGCAAGTGGAACACATTAGATTTCCAAGTATCTAACTAATTAGATCTAGTAAGAATAGTGAGGATAATTCCTCACTTACTATGGTGCCGACCGAGATTTGGGGGTGCGCTGACTGCTTTGTTTTGTTTTTATTTGTTTCGGTTTGTTTTTGTTTGGTTTGGTTTGGGACGTTTGCGTTTTTGGGGGGGGGGGTTAGAAATGAGGAGGAGAGAAATAAAATAGGAGAGGGGGAGGTGGTAAATCTGAATTTTGTCATAACCAGTTCTCATACAGGTGTCCTCTTTTCGGATGCATGTTTTGATAGGTGGCAAATGTATAAGCATTAAGGGGTCGGGTAAGTGAACGATGTTTAAGTTCAGATGAGTTTCAGTGTTCACGTGATATTTTCCAGGATAGGCTAAAAAGTGCGTTCCACTCCTTATTGTCAACGATTATAGATTAATCAAACCACTTGCCCTTTTAGCCACAGACACAATCAAAGCGCGAAATTCACAATTATTGTCACAATGATAATACTCCTTTCAGGAGTAGAATATCACCCATAAAAAGAATGTACATTACGCCATCACCGACACTTCGTTGAGATTCTATACAAGTGCTCCATGACGCTATAAAGGCGATGATTACATTGTGCATTTTGATACTATTTTTAAGGGGTAGCGTATGTAATAAACAAAAAGTAGAAACAGAACCTTTTTTGGGTAAATTCTATTTGACTTTGAGAAACAAAACAAAACATTTTATCTGCACGGGTGACGACATCTATAATATTGCACTTAAATAAACAAAGTCTATTTTTGGACAGAAAAGGATCTTTTTTGTTGGATGCATGTTTTTATTTCTGTATAATAAAAAGACGTGGCTCAGGCCATGTTCATCCTTCAAGTCATGTTACAGATTATTCCTATTAGAATTTAACAATACGTGTTAGCTTTAAATTATTTAGTCACATGAAAGACTATTTCTATTTGCGATTTAGTCATGGTTAAGATAATTTGAAGTTAATAAGTAGTCAAGGTATAGATTCTTCATCTTTAACAAGTTGATTTTCCGACATTCATTTAACCCATCAATTGCGTTCTGGTTATCACGGAACAAATAGTACAATAAGGCAGTTTATTATTCAATTAAATAACAAAATTATTCTTCAACTCGAAACTATTCTTGGCATTTCAATGCTTGAAATCAATTTCACAAGGACACGTAGGTATCCGCAAAAGAATAAAGAGGCTCGCAGCTTGAATCCCATATGATAGAAGCTGGAATATAAATTATTCTTTAGATTTCTGACAGAGATCATTCTTCAATTTATTATTTTTTAAATACAAATTATAATTTGTTCCAGTTCAATTCTACAAAAAAAAGTTAGCAGGCAATTCATTCTTGCTAAAACAATACCCTCTATCAGATGGACGCATCTGTATTAAGTGCATTTAAGCCCACCTCTTAAACTGTCTAAATTGTGTCGATGGAGCCGATGTTGGTGTAAGACTTGAACCACTATAAAATCACACAAAACGGTAGTTTTGAATAATTTAAGGCCAGTGGAATCATCTTTCAAATTTTGAGAAAAAAAACAATAAAATAAAGTAAACGGGGCCCTTCATGATTTCATGAAGAAGAAACTGTCAGATCTGCACTAACAGAAAACTTCCACCAAGCCCTCACCCGCCCTCTGTTTTCCCCCACCCCCACAATCAGTTACGTCATGAGGCCAGGCGTCTTTCAAAATTCTGGCTTCGTCTCATTTTTCAAAGCCACTCCTTTCCTCTCCTACTCATATCAGTCAGTCAGTCAGTCAGTCAGTCAGTCAGTCAGTCAGTCAGTCAGTCAGTCAGTCAGTCAGTCAGTCAGTCAGTCAGTCAATTAGACTTAAGTCTGAGGCCCCTCGTTGTGTCCTTGGGAAAGGCACTTTACAAAATTGTTCCTCACTTCGTTCAGGTGGGAGTAGGTACCCGCCTATATCCAGTGATCTTGTCGGTATACTGGTGTTTGAGCGCGTACTGTAATCCGCAGCTTGCACTGTATGCCCCCGGAGAAGCCGAGAATGTTTGGTGGTGTCTCCGGGTCTACTGGGGTAATAACATAATACATGTATATATAATATTGTAATGTGAATCGAGTATGCTGTACATGTAAAGCCTGGTAAATATTCATTATAATATAAATGCAATACGTAATCAAAGAAAAGTTTTTGTAGCTGGATAGAGACCCAGAACTTCACAGAGCCTATCGGGAATCGAATGGTTGTTTTGGCCTCATAGATCCGAGTTCATGCTTTAACGTGAAGGGTCCGTACGTAATATTATAGTTTAACGCCACAAATTCATTCGAGACTTCTAATTTTCCTTAGAAATACATGCACCCGATAGGACCAAGCCGAATGAATAAACTTGTGATAGGGCCAAGCTTGAGTGTATAGTCGTCTCGTTGGGAATTCGAACCAGCGCCGTTCACACCGCAGTCGAGCGTGATACCAACTGAGCTATCGGCACCCCTGTCAATGGGTTAAAATTTTGGGTTTCCCGTCATGTCCTGCTGGTCAGTTGTTTCAAATTTAGATTTATTTTAGCACAAGTTTTACGACACTTGCAACACAAATAGATCATTAAAATGCCGAAAATCAGAGGTGTTTCCAAAGAGTGACATACAAAGAAAAGAAGAAGAAATAAGTTAATGACGATATAAGTTTTATAAGAAAGAAGGAGAAAAACTACACCAAAGCACCTGCCAACCACCTAGCAATACGTCAGAACTCTAGATGCCTCGGTGGCGTGGGGGCAGCGCATCCTGAGGGTTCAAATCCGCTGTGGATGATCCTGACTTTGCAGGCATTTTTTTCCTCACCATTTCAGCACATCTTCCCTTCAAACAAATAGTTCTACTTCAGATATACCTCTACCATGTGAAAAAGACGCTAGAGAATTCTTCGACCGGTTTACTAGTCCGTCAATTAACAAAAATAGATGGTTAGCTGATTTAAAAAGATAGTAAATTAGAAAATAAAAAGTAGAATAGAAAAAAGAGAAACAAAGTACACCAGACAAAATAAGAAAATGAAAATATCTGTATAATGATCGCACACAATTCACCAATATGTCTGACAGCCCTGAAAACAACGCATTGTGCGGATGGTAAAATGTTACAATACAACAAGAGAAACTTAAAAACTATGTATTGTATCTATCGATGCTGTATGCTCTATCTAAACATTTTACTGGGTAGTTGGCGGGTGCTCTGGTGTGGTCTGCTCCTTCTTTCCTATCAAACATCTTTCGTCCTTATCCCTCCTCCTTATTTTTGCTGTTTGTTACTCTCTTGTAACACTTCTAATCTTTGGCTCTTATAAAACCTAAGAGTGTTGCAAGTGCCGTAAAACTTTTACAAAAGCGCGTTTTAAAATTATTTTAGATCATGTAGGAGACTGCTTCGACCCTGCATGTCAGGGCCAACCCGGGCTGATGTGTGTATGTGTGTGTGTGGGGGGGGGGGGTGTAACATCCAAACAGATAGACGGGAATCGAACTGACGTCTTCAGTGTGCGATGGCAAAGCGCGTTACAGGTACACCACTTGCGCCAGTAAACACGAAAATCAAAGTAAATGAGTAAAAATAACAAATTAACGAATTAACAAAAGAAAATCAAGATAAATGAGTAAAAACAACAAATAAACGAATTAACAAAAGAAAATCAAACAATAATAAAAAATAAAAAAATTAAAGAAAAGAACTCAGCACTCTCCCTCCCTATAATTCACATTATAGGCAAACTCCTTAAACATGGGTGGTTTGCGAGTGCTCTATAGTGGTTTGCACCTTCTTTCCTATCACTATCAGATATTTATCGTTTCATCTCTCGTCCTTCGGGGTTTTTTTGTGTTTGTTACTCTCTTGTAACACCTCTAATCTTCTGCACTTATGTGAATGAAATTATTGTTTTGCAAGTGCAGAAAAACTCTTGTTAAAAAATTAAAACTAAAACTAAAACTCTTTGAACGCATCCTTACTTTACTTTGAAGTCGTTCTACACGGCAATGCCTTCCATTCATTCTCGGAATGTTATTTTACGTCATATTGCGTTAAAAAGGATGAATTTCTGAAAAAAGTTCCTGTGCAAATAACAAAGTTTGACTATCTGTCTCCTGATTCGATTTGCGTTGTTTTATTGCATATCTGCTCGTGATGGGTGTCACCGTTGCTAGTTCCTACTCTTTGATTTACTTCTGTTGTTTAATTATGTCTGTCTTATATAAAATTTGCCATGCACCAAAACATCGTTAAAACGCCGATGTGCTTCTCTCTGACCATTCCATGGTAGTACATGTATAATGTACTCATTACTGTGAAAGAAATCATTAAAATTGCTTGCGATTTCGCCATTAAACACACAAACATGCAAACACACAAACATACACATGTACGAACACACACTAACACACACACACACACACACACACACACACACACACACACACACACACACACAAACATATGCACACCACACACACACACAAACATATGCACGCACACACACACACATGCAAACACACACACAGTCACAAACAAACCAAAAATACAAAGCAAACAAAAC